TTTTCCTCCTCAACATAAAAGAAGATATTTTGAAGAATGATCGTAACCAGTTTCTGGTCTCAACTGACTCCAATAGTGTTTTTTTTTTCTCTTTTTTTTTGTCATATATGGAAGTAGTGAGGGCCCAACAACTGTTTGGTTACCAATATTGTTCCAAATATATTCTTTTGTGGGGGGGCCCTGCAGTAAGTCATAGCCCCGGGACCCAGTGCGGTCTTAATGCGGCCCTGCGCACACACACACACACACACACACACTGATGCCTCACTTACCCTGCTAACTTCTTTAGCTGAAGATTCATCTGTTGAAATACAAAAGAAAACCAAGTCAAAACTGATGAAGGTGAGCATACTGTAACAGTGTCACTTGGATGACCAGACAGAATGTCCCTTCATTTGTATAAAGCTTATATTTGCCTTAGTCTTGTGCATTTTATTTTTTATTATTTTTTTTTTTTACTTCATTTAATTTATGTTTATGTTGTGTCTTTAATTAGATGAACTAAACGAATTAGAGGAATAGAAAAGAGAAAACAGTAAAACACGAGAAACAGGATAAAACCTGCATAACCCAAATGAGCAACGGCTCCATACACAAACACACAAACTTCAACTTGATGTGTAAACTGAAACTGACTCCAATGTTCTAACTGCGTGCCACGCTATACATTTTAACTGTCTGAAAGCAAAACATGCTGTATTGCAGTCAGAACAATATACAAAACCCTGAAGAATTCTGGGCCGATGAGAGTCAAACAGAACATAAGAAACCAAGCAACCAACAAAATGTTCTGTCACTTTCCAATTGTCACATTTGCAGCTGATTAAGACAAAAACAGTTTTTTTCCTGCCTGGTTGGAACACGGTGTTAAGGAACATTCAATGAGCAACTCATGCAGCCAAACTGACAATTTTCCACTTCAGTGATGAGTGTTCTTTCTAAGCTATGCAAGCTTCAAAAATCCAGCTTCAAAGTAAAAATCTAAGTTTTTATAAACTGAAACCTAAGCCCTGTCATGTACTTCAAATACAAGGCTTGCAAAAGCTCCATCTACCTACAAACAAATGACTTACACAGCTATGAACACATGCAGATAAACAGGGACAAAATAGGAGAATTTGTGAATACGCCATCTCCTCTTGTTCTCCTGAGAAAACACCTGTATCTGAGGTCAGCGAGTTTGCAGAAACCTGGAGACGTTCAGCAAACTCTTCCTCAGTGGCTTCCCCCATTCAGAAAGAAGCTCAGTCAGTGTGGAACACAGGAAGTGATGCAGATAAACACTGTCCTCTCAGAGGAGACTGTGCCAGCATTACAGCTCACTCACAACAGCAGGCAAGGCCACATACATCAGACTGCTCACAGGTACAGTTATGCTCAAAAGTTAACACACAATTTGTATGACCCTTCTTAGTAATATTTTGCAGATTCAGCAAGTAGAATGTAAACCTATCACCACAACTCGAGTGAGTAAACAGATTACACCACAGAACAATCAGCAAGTGATTAACATAAAATTTAAATAAATACATAATTTGCTAAATAAATTTTAACTGAGAAAAAAGTGCAAATGCTTGGCAGAAAACATTCACATGCACAGACAATCACACCAATTCCAAAAGAAAAAAGAAAGAAAAAGAAATTGATGCATTTTTCGGGGAACAATGAAAGACACACTTTGGTATGTTTAAAGTGTAAAAATTTTTAATGGATGTTCAGAGGGGTCCAAATCATTGTAAGTTTTAGTTTCTTTTGTTTCCTGAAACTGATTTAAATCTATGTTTTAAATGTGATCTTAAGACTTCTGGACCATACATATACTGTATATATGGTCTGTGTATCCCCCCCCCACTGCTGTCACCTGATAGAGTTTTGTTGTCTTCATTGCCTGAACTGAATTGAGGTGGATAATGACATGAACTTTGATATATCAAACTGAATCAACATCGAATATTATTTTATTATTATATTTTATCACATTACTATATTATATATTATTAAACAAATGACTTGATGTAGTTAAAAACAGTCAAATGCCTGGAGAATATTCAGGTCTTAAATCATCTAACACCATTTTAACTATTCTAATTATTCATTTTAATCGATGGATACTACAGTCAAGGCCAAAACTTTTGTCAGTGACATAAATTGTGTTTTGCAAAGTTTTTCAGTATTTGTAGATTGTTTTTCCACATGTTTCTATGGTATACTGAAAAACAATGATAAGCATATCGTAAGTTTTAAAGGCTTTTATTGACAAAAAAATATAATGAGTCAATATTTACAGTGTTGACCCTTGTTCGCTCTGGCCTGCTGGATGTTAGCTTCTGGGCCAAATCCTGACTGATGGCAATCCATTCTTGCCTTATTAGTTCTTGGAGTTGATCACAATTTGTGGGCTTCTGCTTGTCCACTCGCCTTTTTGAGGACTGACCACCAGGTTCTCTATGGGATTGAGATCCGGGGAGTTGCCTGGCCACGGATCCAAAATTTAAATGTAATGATCTTCGAGCCACTTCTTTATCACTCTTGCTTTGTGACATGGTGCTCCATCATGCTGGAAAATGCATGGATCATCACCAAATTGCTCATGGATCACTGCAAGAAGTCACTCTTGCAGGACGTTTTGATACCATTCGTTATTCATGGCAGTGTTTTTGGGCAGCATTATGAGAGAGCACACACTCCCTTGGTTGAAAAGCAACCCCACACATGGATGGTTTCACAGTCAAACCTCTCTCCTTTAAGTTCTTGATGATCCGGTAAATGGTTCTTTCAGGTGCAATATTCTTTGAAGCAATGTCCCTGCATGTGAGGCCATTTTGCTAAAACACAAAATTTATGTCACTGCCAAAACTTTTGGCCATGACTGTAGTAGCTCCTAGTATGTGTAAATAAAAAAATTTTTAAAATTTAAATTAAATAAACTGGGGTTTCAAATACGGTTTATCAAATAAAGTTAATTCGGGGCTTCAAATATTGTTGTGGACAATGGGGGCCTTGGAGTCAAAAAGGAACCACTGCTCTATGTCTTGTGGACTTCATGTGGACAAGCACATGGCGGCCATTGTAAGTCCTCAAGACCAGAAGTACACATGAGCAGTGCCATTTGGGACAGGGCCCAACTCTATTTCATACTTCCTTGTCCTTTAGCTGTTAGTGTGAATGGACATTTAGACTAGAGGACGGATCAGCAGTTCTAACTCTCATAAGCAGAACCATGCTGGGTGATGCGATGGCACTTTCTGACTGATGACACAGACAAATAAGAAGAAAGAAGATGGGGGAAGCACTGTTCCCCACGTCAGATCGCTCGTATCCACTCACCTAAATATGGTTGATATATTACAGGCCTGGATCGATTTGTGGGTGGATATAGGCAGCCGTGCACAGGACAGCCGTGCCGTTAAAAAGCATCTGATGGCGTCATGCTGTGTCAAAGCTGCTGATCTTTTTTGATTCCCTCTTGACATTAGCAGGCACTATGCCTAAACAGCCATTCATATAATCTTGTAAATCTCACACTGTGCACTTTCAGCACAATCCACGTCCCTTGCCGTTGCAGGCCTGTAAGAATGGCAGTATCTCCTGCCGTTGCTTCTCACAAACCAACTGTAAGGACAATATGGCCGAGTTCCTGGCTTTTTGTTTACTGCCTACATAGGCAGCTTTTTTTAAGAACCAACGAGTGACTGATTTGGTACACTCCACAGGGGCAGCAACATTCATGTTAGACAAAAATCCCTTGTGACAACAGATTTCAAAATAGTTTGCTGATAGCATTTTTGCTAAGCTAATGATGCAATACTCTAAATTTAGCTTGTGTACACTGTGTAAGTGTACACTGTAAAATCGAATTAGTTAACCTTACTTTAAAAAAGCATGCAAACCGACTGCCTTAAAAATCGACTGCCTAAGCAAAATAAAAAACACTTTTTAGTTTCAACAACTAATTAATTTTAAGGTTACTTTTGTAAAATTTACTGCAACCTGGAATTTCTCACTTGTATTTAAAAAATGAAACCCTTTTAATACCAAACATAACAGACCTAAACACTAACAAATCTCCTCCTATATTAATCTTGTGCAAAAACACATAAAATAACACTTAATTTAAAAATGTATTCATAAATTATTAAGCAAAGCAGGCTGGGAACCAGAAACTAGCTTGACAAATTGGTACACATACAAATCAAATTATCTTAACTAGGGTTCCACTTCCACGCATTCAGCGTGACCCTGCTCTGAATCACGTGTGTAATCAGTCCAATGGATGGGTGAGACATCACGGACGGGGTGACGTAGAGACCAGGAAGCTTAAAAGCACGTGGGGTGGAGACAGCGGCAGCTTCTGTCATTCAGTAAGAGCTCTATGTGTGTGTCCTATTTATTGTTGTTTGTCACGTTGCACCAAGCATGTCTAAAGCAAAAGTCCCTGACAAAGCACAAGGGCGAGAACAAGCAGCAATTTAGACTGTGTGTTCCTCCCTGCCCGTGCTACATTACGGGCGGGGATACACACAGTCTATGTGTTGTTTGCTTGGGAGCGATGCACGCTGAGTCAGCTCTCGAGGGAGGTTCTCGCTGTGGACTCTTTGCTCCCGGAGGGCTCTCTTTAAAGAGGGAGCCCTCGCGAGCATTCCTCAGGGCTCAGGTCCCTCTTCTGCTGAGGCAGAGCGGCGGCGGCGGTCGTGGGGATCGCAGATGGATCTGGTGGAGGGAATGGAGATGGCAAGTCCCTTTCTTCTTCCTCAGCCACCAGATCCAGTGCCCCCACCCAGGGATCGAAAGCACACTCTGCGGTTTCTTTCCCCCTTGCACCTTCACCCTGGTGGGCCCCCAGCAGGCTCTGGTCATGGAACAAGTAAACACTCCCTTGAGGAAGGAGGCCATCGAGGAGGTCTCTCCTCTCAACAGTGAGTCTGGGTTCAACAGCCGGTACTTTATCGTTCCAAAGAAGGATGGGGGGTTGTGTCCTATTCTAGATCTGCGTCAGCTGAACCGCTCAGTCATGCGACTGATGTTCAAGATGCTTATACTAAAACAGGTCGTATTTCAGATCAGGTCCAAGGACTGGTTTGTCACGATTGATCTGAAGGACGCATGCTTCCATATTTCCATCCTTCCTCAACACAGGAAGTTCCTAAGGTTTGCTTTCGGGGGCGAAGCTTAACAATATCGGGTTCTTCAATTCGGTCTGGCATTCTCACCCCGCACTTTCACCAAGTGTGTGGATGCTGCTTTGGCTCCGCTGCGACTCCAGGGCATCCGTATACTGAACTATACCAACGATTGGTTGAT